AACTGTTTTATATTGATATTTTTAATTTTTCAAAGGAAAAGGATATCAAGTAGGTGGGTTTAAGATGTTTTTGCTGGAATTAATGTTATGTCAGTTCCCCAGTTCCCTAACTAAATTGAAGATAGTTTATAAAATATAAAAATATTTTACTGTGCATGTTCTCCTTAGAAATTCAAGTTTTTCTTGATTTTAAAAATATTCAATGATCATATTCAAATTTGGCTTAGTTTCCTCTCCTGAATGAAGATATGAGCCATCCAAATTCTGATTGCACAATCAAAACAGTTCAAGAAAAAGAAATTATCATGGCTGTGAATATAAAACGATAACTAATAGTGAGAAAAATCCATTGGGCAAAAATTTTTATTATCTAATAAAAATAAATCTAATAAAAACTGATGGGAGGGAATCAGTTTAAAGATAGAGATCAAAGGGAAATAAATTTGGACCTTTAAATTTGTTCACAGATAACATTACTGCTAGTTCACTGAAATGCCAAATGAATAAATAAGTAAAACATATAATATGTAAGCCAGAGATAAGTATTAAGAAGAAAAATTAAGCAGGGTAGAGGGGTAGGAAATTTGGAGAATAGAAAGAGGAGGCTACTATTAGCTTAGAATGATTTTTTTATCCCTAGAAATAAATATATAGGTATTGGAGAGACACCTTATATACTTTCTTGAGAAGTACTGTTAAAAGTATTCTTTGGTGGATTCAGAGTCATGCAACTCAAGTTCCATAGCCTGCCTGATTTCCCCCAAGGGCCTTTTGCTTTGTCCTAGTGTGGCTCCCACACCAGGGAGCTCACTCACTCTTGAGGTGACCCATGCTCTCTGTCAAAGCACAGACCTCCTGCTTAGTTCAGGGCCCAGAAAATGTCTGTGAAAATTATTTTCCATTATTCAAGATAATTTCCTTGGGGCTAAGAAGTTATTTCATGTGTCATAATTTTTCATCAAGATAAAGAAATTGGGTTGACTGCTGATGGAGATCAATGTTGAGAAATCTATGAAGAGAGTAAGAAGTAAGAGCTTTTCAGACCCATAGAACCCTACACTCCCACACAGGAGAACCTGTTATAAAGCATTCTGCAGCAGGCCCCTGGTAATGACCATGGTAGTAACATCATCAGATCTGATGACACCAGGCATAGGGTAACTAGGCATAAAGTAAACAGTGACTGACTGGCTCAGTCAAGAGTTCCAGTACCACGTCTCCAGGCCCTCTCTCTACCTGAAGTTGACTCATTAGGAGCAAACTGTAGCTAGACTGCTTGCTTTCAAATATTGGCTCTACTACTTCCTGACTGTGTTACTTTAGGCAAGTTGCTTCACCTCTCTGTGCATCAGTTTCCCCATGTAAAATAGAGATAACAATCATATTTGGCCACATATAGTTTTTGTGACAATTAAATATATACAAATAATTTTATACCAAAACACATCTATGTGCCAAGCACTGATTTATATGCTAGTGATTCATTTAGAGTACTGCCCCGTACATAATACAAGCTCCATGCATATCAGTAATTAGAGGTCCACATATCCTTATCTGACACTCAGATTGATTACTCTTATGATTATTTTATCATTTTATAAAGGTAATAAGGTGACTATTCTATCTACATAAAACTCTGGGGGGCTAAGGTGCAGCACTTCGTGATCAAACACATTAATATTGCTACAGTAAAACATACAAACATTCGCACTAAGTGGGATAAAGATTACAAATAGCTTCCCATCAGTTCAGGTCATGATTTGCAGCCAACTTTTTTCCATTAAAATCTTTTGTTTTTCAGAGCTTTTTGGATTTCAGGAGAGATGGTGAACCTATATATTAAGTAAGGGGTAAAGCTAATTAAGTCTTCTTTTTCTTTCTAACTTCTGGATATGCTGATAATCAAATAAATAGTCAAAATTATCTAGGAGAAGAAAGTAGGAAGCCCTTCAGGCATGGAAAATTCACAACTGCATATCTTATCTAATGCCAAATATTAGTCTAAACAATCCCTGCCCCCAAATACAGTGTGATATAAGGTTCTCAGTAAACCAAAGCATTTCTATAAACAACAGGTAACAGTCTTTAAGGATTTTTAAAAGTAATTTTTGAATATAGGGTAAAATATCTAAGTTTTACCACCTTATCTTTCCCATAGAAGACAAGTTATTAAATGACAAATAATTCACTTAAAGACATGTACTCTAAAAGAGTACAGTATTCTCTGTAATCAGCCTAGGGGAGATGAATAAATGTTATTCCAAAGAGGTAAACTATTCTGCTACCAAAGGAATTTTCTCCACATTGCATTTTAAGGAAATATTTGCAGCTCTTGAAAAGCTACACAATAACTGGTTCAAGATGTTCTCCCTGCTGGTCAGCACTGGATAAAGAATTTGCACAAACCCATGGAAATCAACTTCTCCTGCCTATTACTCCCATATGTTGTTATTTATCTTCCCCAACTTTTTTGACCCCTGTCCATTTATTTTATACTGAAGTATTGCTTTCTTCAAGACCTAGGGTTTACCAACCCCATGGTAATCCATACACAAAGGCAAAGCCAAGAAGACATGAAACGAACGGAGATACTTATGTTGCTTCATGGTTTTTTTCCCCTATTCATTATCCTCCTACTCAATGAGACTGTAGTGGGAGGTCTGAATGACATTTCCAAACCGAGAACTTAAAGCTATATTTCAACACCCAACCCCTCTGTTGTCATAGGAACAACACTATGAGGCTTATTTAGGTTCTAACAAACAGCCACTTGTTTCACTAGCAATTAAAAGCTCCCCCTTCCAAGCAAATATTAAACACATACATACACATGCTCTAAAAAATTTATTGGACAAAATTGTATACCACAACAAAAATTTAAGAAACAAACCAAAGGGAAAGTGTTTATATTCCTGAATATGAAAATATCAAATATTATTTGAAAAATTATTTTGAAGTCTGTCATTTGACCTGATTCCCTTCAGTTTGTAGCTTTACATACCCACAAAAACAAAGACATATGTGTACCTTTAATATCCTATAACAGAATGTACAAGAATATTATTAATACTCTCAATAATCCCAGTGGAGAATCCAGGGCAATGTTGTTATTTATTTTACATGTATTTTAAAAAAATAATAAATTGATGACTGAGAAGAGCAAACAGAATTAAAAATATGAAGATCTAAAAGAATTCTTCTGCGATACACTTTCTAGCCTTTATTGTTTCAACCTACTTCTATCATATTTTTGTCATTCGAAATGGATTCTAAATGGATAAGTCAAACCTAAAAATTATATAGACTTTTTTTCCATCAAGAAAGGCCGTCTTTAGGCAGATTATTAAATCGTTATGTTTTGCCCAAGTATTTGCATGAAATGCAGAGCTGAAAATCATGGTGAATCACTGAATACAAACTAGCAGCTGGATATAAATTACCTGTAATCATCTTAATGCTTTGTCACCATTTTCTGTCTTCAAAACTCTGAAACCTATAAATTCATGTGCGCTTCAGGGAAATGAGTGGTATTTTTCCACGTCCTCAGCCACACCTTAATTAAGTCAAATACCTTGTAATATTCACATATTTGGATCATCAATCTGATTTATTGGAGATCCTGCCCTTAAAGGCCATGCTTGCCTTGCTTTATGTCTTTGAGAGCTATTAGTCAGAGAAAAATAATCTTAAAAGTTCTCAAATCATATAAAAAGAAAAAGAACAATTAATAGATCCCACTAGATTCATCTCCCTCTTCTCCACACTCATCCCACTCTAGTGCCAACAGAGAAACTGCAGCATGCTAACCTGTTGTTTATTATACATTTTTCCCTTTCAAGTTAAGGATTTTAAGATTTCAAAAGTAACAGAATGGGAACCCAAAGTCAGAAATGTAGATTTAACCTTCAATTAGGTTAAGATACTAAAAAAGAAATAAATAAGGTTATATCCTATATAACCCAAAACTTACAACTCTGTCAAACAGTTTTAATTATATGTATTCGCATTCATAAAGGGACACCAAAGTTACCTATATAATTATTTTCCATCTGATTTTACAAGTACACATCACATGATTGCTTCTATTGACCAATAAAAGAACTTGTAAAATCAGGTAGCCATCCACCATTCTAATTTTATTTTCTTATTCTAGTCAACTTTTCCAGTACAATCATTCTTAAGAAACCAAATCAAGAAATCAGACATTCATGCCCAGTATAAACTTGTGTTTCCTCACAGTTCATGAATCAAGAACCCAGTGTATATAACAGGTATTCAAAGCTTTATTGTAGTTTTCTGGGCATCTTAAATATAAAGGTCCTAGCTCAAATTCAAGACTAGAAAACAATTTAAGGTTTCAGAGACAGACACAGGCACATTGGTAAGAGCTATTAAACACAATCTCTCAGAACATAATGGACCTTATAGTAATAACTACCCTTTTCGCTATATTAATGTCACCAAATAGAATAATCTAAAAACACAATGATACAAATATAAAAAATCTATTATCTTAATGTGCCTTTCACAATCAGGAGGAAAAGTTTCTAATGCATTACTTAATTTTATTTTGTAGATTTCTAAGTACTAGACATCTTTGAGTAGAGGGAGGGAAAAGAGGGCAAATTCACTAATTCAGAAAGCACCCTTTCAAAAATCATAAATATTATTCAGACTATATGGAAATATACATCCATGGAAAGTTAATGCTAAAATTCTACCAAACAATCCATTTTGATTGCTTCCTCCGGGTAAAAAAGGGGGGGAAAAGCCAAAATTATATATATTTGACTAAACTGGTAATGAATCATTCATCTTTGTCAATTACCTGGCTGCTTCTCAGCCTTTATGCTATATTCCTGGGCTGCTCTTTTTAGAGTTCCTCACTCTGTTTATGTGTTCTCTGGTTCAACACAGTTGGTAGGGGTCTGTGAACAATTTCATAATACCCACATGCACCATATGACAACTATTAGGGAGCAATGCCACTTTTCACTTACCAATTCTGGATAAAGCAGTATTTCCTGGTGACAGAATGCTGATGCTTCCATTCACTTAAACTCTCTCTTCACAGCTTGATAAATCTGATTATAAAATGTGTTTGTTCCAGATCACATGAGACACTTTTCCTACAAAAGTTGTCTAAAGAGTTATCTGCATTTCATTCCTTTGACAAAACGAACAAGAAAGAGT